ATCCGTTGTATGAGAGGCTTTGTTAAATTGCTTGACTTTTAACCGAATACAGATTGCTTTATAATGTAGATTGTGCGATAGATATGTAAAGTAGCTTGCTTTCGATGAATTTTTCGGGTAAAAACTTCCGTCGTTTCAGGAGGATGTTTAGTAGATTGCTTCAATCTCAAAATCTTTGGAAAGCCAAACGGCCTAGGCCTTCTGATAAGATCAAACAACGAATCTTTTCATACGAAATGAAAATCTTCACAACAATTGTCCGTGAAAATCTTTTCCTCATGGTACTGCCACTTCGATGAACCCGTGCTATGATTTAGTCTGTACCTCCGTGACAAAAAATGTCAGAGCGTGAAAGCAAGTTTTACCAAATATTGCAATAATATACTTGACACTTCCCCTTGATAGTCATCTTTGATGCTGTCGAATCCCACTTGGGATGCTAAGAAGATGATGCGACGTAGAACCTGCAGTTCAGTCCATACTTCTGATGCGATTAACTTTTGGAACGCAACTTTAAATAAAATTCAACGTAATCGTCAGGTCTTCACAGCTCACCGTTCTTAAATCAACTTAAGTGATATAGAGTTACTAACTTATTATTTAACAATTATTTAAAATCTCATAAACTACTTACAACGTGTGTGAGTAACGTCTTCGATTGAATTTGCAATTGCATACTTGCCTAATCGACAATCCCACATTAAATGCTATTTTAGTGAGGCCTGACTTGCCTGAAATGCCACACCTGCCCTATGATCCGCTGGTGACTATGGATAGGTATTAAAGATGTAGGGTATTTAATTCTGTTTGAGGTGTTGATGAACTTGGTCGAATGTGCAATTTTACTTGAATTAAATGGCCAAACTAAGTGAAATTCAATGAAATCACGAGTGCTACTCAGCTTAAAAGACTTCGTGTAAATTAATTTCCGTTTCTTAAAAAGGCTTTCGGAACTACCAGTCCTTTGTCACCTTAAACGAAATAAGATGAATACAGATTTTAGTGTGACTAAGTTGTTAGCCGTCAATACCTGTGCATATCATGTGGAAGCTAACCCTTTGGTAGAATGTTTCGGCAAAATATGTCAACTTTAGAGATGACTGGGTCTAGCCATCACTATTAGAAATCCATACAGGCCCTTTTCTTGTCATCTCCAAGCGAGACAGACACTCCACTGTGCTGACAACTAGTCATCAGGATGTAGTATACACCACAATTGATACGATTCAGACCGTCCCAGACATAAAACGCGTCTTTTCAACACCCATCTTAAGGGTGAATTAAGATAATGTAATCTATCTACTGTATGGAGCGGAGACGAAGAGTATACTTAGCCCCTGGATCCTCGGTAATTACAATGTTATATCATACGTTTCATCGAAGCCCAGTTAAACTCCGAGACGTAGTTTTTTACATTCTTTGCTTCACTCACTGTGTCTCTGATGAGAAATTGATAAGAAAGTATTTTCGACAAGAGCTGTATTCGTCCGGTTTCGTTTAAGATATGTAAAAGTCACGCGTTTTCATTAAATTTTATACAGACTTGCCTTCCAAACGGTATTCTCATCTTGGCTGAAGTGGACGCCAGTTTCGACCTCGTATAGATCTCACCAGCCCTCTCAGCTCTGTGACTCAAGGACACTCGTGAAGTTTTTGGCGATGATAATATGTCAAGATTATACGCCGTTTAGCTCAAATTCCGATCCAACTGAGAAATTCTGCTTAGACTTAGACGAGGCTGAAACTGCAGTCCAGCGCAAATGAGAATAACTGTTGGAAGGAAGACGATGTGAAATGAATTGGAAACATGGAGCCTAGTTATATCATTTTTGGAACCTTCAACTACCAGTCTTTCATCATCTTGAACCAGATTTGGTGAATACAGTTCTAAAAAAGATCTACTGGTATCCTTAAAACCGACTTATGAAAAAACAAAAACAATTAGTGATGCTGAAGTAGCTCTTATTTTGTTTGAAGATGCGATTGCAAGTGATTCGTAAGTTGGCCTAATCGGATTGCCTTGAAGCTATGACTGTAGATTGTGCGACTAAGTTTTCGGCGACCCCGATGAGTCCTTGCTGAGCTTTTATCCTTTGTGTGACGGACATCGTCAGAGCAGGACACTATGAATTGCGATATTTGAGCAAAACACGCAGAAAAAAATTGTGGCCGGCTGTAGTCCTACTTTGTCTAATAGCCCAAATGTGTCGGCTTATTGAGACATTTTATGATTTTGAAATGTATTCACCTAATTTCGTTTAAGGTGATGAAGGACTGGTAGAAGAAGAATTTTCCCACAATCATATGATTTAAGTTGACGTTTCCATAGCCTTGCTTTCCCAAAAGTTGTTCTCATCCAGGCACCAGTGGACTAAAGTTTTAACTTCACATCGGTTCGAATCCCGTTGAAGGTGTTGATAAGACCTATGCGAGGTCGAAATTGCAGTCCATTTCAGCCGGAATAAGAACAACTTTTAGGAAAGCAAAGCTCTGTGAAAGTGAATATAAACGTCAGTTCAACTTGTATGATTGTGGGAAACTTCTTCTTTTACCAGTCCTTCATCACCTTAAACGAAATTGGGTGAATACATTTCATATTACTAATTTACTAATAGTCACGAAAACAATACTTAATTCGAAAAATTTTATGGTTTCGTTTGATATGCATTGCTTTCTGTAAATGTTGGCTAAAAGTTCAATTGTTGCAGAGGATGCGTTAAATAAACAGTTAAATATCAATTGTCAGTAGCAAAATGAGGGGAGTTTGCTTTCTGGAGCGGGACAGACAGTTGGACCATTCTACTCAGTTTGTGATTTTGCCTTCATGTTAACTTGCGAAAAAGTGGGATGATCTACCGAGGAAGTGGAATATAAAAACAATGTATAAAGAGAGATTACCACTTTCGTCAGTAGTTCCTTCGTTTAGAGAATTGTCAGACCCTCCTTCTAGATCAGGCTGCTACAAGATTTTGTGTCCATGTAGTAAGGTCTATGTGGGGGAGACTTGCCCACCCATTCAGAAGAGAGTATGCAAACACAAAACCGCTTGTAAATGTCCACGTGTCGACAAAGCTGAGCTAAAATAAAAAGACTACCTAAACACAAAACCGTCTTGAAAGGTTTATTCGTCCAGAAAGCTCAACAAATATTTAATATATATATTATATTATATTA